AAAGCTGCGAATTTAAATACCAAAGTATATAAAAAAATCACAAACTCTTAGTTCAAAGTGCTAAGCCTAATTCATGTAAAGACTTTGCACTCGCTACTCACTAGCTCTTAACCCTAACAATCGCGGATCAACTTCTTTCCTAAAAATATATCTATTTTGAGTTAATTTTTCAATATAATGATTAATATAAATAGATATACGATGCAGCATAACTTAAGCTACTATATAAAAATAATAAAAGTCACGTACATCCCATGCAGTTTTTCCAGAAGCAAGTTTTCTAACACTTATAGAAGAGCACTATTGGCCAAGACTAAATACAACCTCTACATAAAATGGCTGTTACTATAATAAGCACCACCCATATTCATATTGTAGAATCCAGAGAACAACGTTTCGTCATGTGTTTTTTTTATCATCCTATGATTTGTCAAACGTGAAATACAGTAACTGGAATAACATGGTACTGAAATCGACACCTTTGACTAGGATTGGCTAAAAGTTTTACAACTGAGGATTAACACGCCCAGACGCTGTTTCATAAAGAAAACAGACAAGAAAAAGGTTTAGATACCAATCATAGATGGTAGGACCAGTGTTGAAGTGGAATGAAAAATGAAAAAAATTTTTTTTTTAAATTTTCTCCTTAGAGGGCGCTTATTTACAGTCTAAAATGTATTTTAGGATTTTTTTTCATTAAATTCCTTTTTAAACTTCATTAAATAATACAATTTTGTACAAATAATTGAATGTTATGCTACTATTTAGAAGAATAAAATCTGAAATCCAATAAAAGATAAGGTTTCTATATTTTTTTTCAATTCACAAATGTGATTTTGCTTTTACGATAAGACAAGATGGCCATGGTGGGTAACGGGTTAAAGAAAAAAATGTCTGCAGAAACACTGAAATGAAGTTTATTACTATAATCTCTTCTATTAACAATATAACCCCTGGTACCATTTCTAAATTCCTTTCTGCGCATGTCACAAAGTATTACTGAATTATATTCAAAATTTAATTAAACCACTTTACTATCAATGTATTTTAATGAAATTGGTGTTGTCAAGTATGTTATGATTCAAAGTCTTATAATATTTAAGTTTTCATTCTTTTATTTCAAAAGAAACTGCTAAAGGAATAATGAAAAACTTCACATTTGCTCTAACTTGAAATGAAAGTGGCTATAAAAACGACGACTACAGTTAAAAACATTGTTCTTGCTGGCAATAAGCTACAATGTACATATAATTTGCTTACCAGTAACTTGATACAAATTCCTAGAACCGGCCTCGAAAGGAAATCGTTATAGACATTCATGAGTTCAAACTATGCCATGCCCACTTGCAAAGTAGAAGCTGGGTCGCTTAGCAACTGTTTCAAGTTGAATGGCATGCTTATAACCAATAGAAAGAGCAGATATCACCCTTTAAGATTGTTCTTGTCAATTTTTAAACAATTTTATCCACTAGTCTTATTTTTTGAATGAAATACGACGAGAGTGACGTTACTTATTCTGTGACAGAGTAGCCAGGGTTAAAAATAATTTTGTTGTGGTTTGTACTAAAATAATTTTACCCTAGGATCTGGATTTCAAAACGACTTATCATCATAATGAGGATAACGTTCCATAAGGAAATGATTTTAATTTTACATACCGTCAAACAATAGTCACTTAAAATATTAAACATCAGATAAACATTTTACATCAAAACCTTGGATACCATCTGGTTGATAAAACTACATAATTTTCAAATAATGGAAAAGGTATCTAGAACTTAGAATCATGGTTGTAAATCCAATGTTATAGAATAACAAAGAAATTCTTATGAAGAGTTTGCGACTTGTGCAGATCCAATAACACGATTCTTGGTGGTGTAACGAAACATAATCTGAGAGCACATCACAACAACGTTCACTTCTTAAATATCCTAAGACCACAATGCTGAAGCAATAACTCAAAATCTTACAGCTGTTTAGAGAATATGAAAAAAAAAAAACACAGATAACTGAAATGTAGGTGAGATATGGCATGTTATAAGCAAAGCTATTTTGTGTAATTAAAAACTACTCACAAGAACTAATAATTCTGAAACCAATACAAACAAAAAAAGTTTGTACATATATCTTACCTTTATATTTGTAACACTAAACTCTCTCTTCGTAACCAAATCAGTTTTCTCTTCTTTATGAAAGGTCACTTTGATGTAGTCATACTCTTGTTCCTCAGATGGCCAATACTGTGGACACTTTGACTGAAAATAAAAAACATGCTATATTTATAACAACCACAGAAACACCAAGAGTTAAATATGAGTTTAACTCTTATTGATACAGGCTCTGTCACTTTGACCGACCCTGTAACTATCAGGTAACCACGAAAGTATCTATACTATAACTTTGTGTATCTTCACAAAACTTGACAAGCTTATAGTAAACATTAAAATTCTTTTGTACACAAAAAAAATCTCTATTTTTACTAAACATTTGTTCCCTGATTGTATGGAGTCACAAAACTTGACAAGCTTTTGTTAAACATTAAAATTCTTTTGTACACAAAAAAAATCTGTATTTTTACTAAACATTTGTTCCCTGATTGTATGGAGTCACAAAACTTGACAAGCTTTTAGTAAACATTAAAATTCTTTTGTACAAAAAAAAAATCTGTATTTTTACTAAACATTTGTTCCCTGATTGTATGGAGTCAGATTGTTGACTAGTAGGAGTGCGAGCTGATTTTTATGTTAAGATTAAAAATACTTTTGTTCATCTCACAGTTTTCAAATTTCATTTGCATAACCTCTAAAACCTCCTAAATGAATATCGAACGATTTGCTTCAGTAAAAATTTATATCTTATCCGTTAGTTTCTCTACCCTAACTACGCGGACTCGGTCAATATGACCAACCTTGTAACTATCCTAAAAAAGACCACAAGATAAATCTATATTACCCTTATTTACTTTCTAGAATGACTGCAGATTGTAACAGACAACTATAATTGTTTGTTCTAAATAGTTTACAACTCATAAGATTTTTTTATCCATACTTTTTTCATTCTCTTACCTGATAAATTATAAATTTTTACATAAAAAAATAAAAATTTAGCACTTATGTTTCGTCTCTTGTATTTTTGCTGCTGGCCTGCAGATGAAACTTAAGCCTACTTTTTGTTTTTATAATGATGGTATCAGTACATTAAATAATTTTTATTTATTTCAAGTATGCACTATACATACAATATACACACATGGGGAGAGTGAGAATTTATTTAAATATTTCCTTTTGAAATGATGAAAAAAATTTAATATTAAAATTTGATTTATTAACTACCTCAAGTGGGTCTACCAAGCAAATAATATCCTACGATTATTATAATTGGACTGTTTTTTCTAACTAGGGCATAAGTGTCATAAGATAATTCCCTTAGCTATTCTAACTTAACTTGGTAATAGCAACTTTTAATATGTAGGCAAAATAACTAAAACTCTTACTGAGAACAAGACAGCATTGTGTGCGATTCGGGAAATTAAAACTTTGTCTTTCTATTGGTTATACATGATGATGATGTAAAAGCAAATGTCAGAGTGAATTATTGGAAATTTGTGAAAGAGACGATGTGACAGGTGGGTGTGGAAATTGGGTTTGACTTTCTAGTTATTGTCTCGATAAACAAAGAAGCTTAAAGGCTATGTAAATTAGATTATGACTTAGTAATATCTATACTGTAAAGAGTAATTTATATTTTACTTAGGACATAAAGGGATGTGAAAAAAAAATAAGAGGAGGGGCAAATTAGAGAAAACAAATGTCACAATATACTTACAAGGAGAAATTGAGAAGTTATTTAAATATTCTCTATTAAAATGAACAAAATATCAAAATTTTATTTATTAACTACTTTAGAAGAACTTCTCTTTAACAACAGCACGGACTCAATATAGCATAGAGTTTACAAAACAGTTAAAGGTATTGTATTTTATTATAGAGAAATATAGTCTACCATTGGTTTACAGTTGTTGGCAGAAGAGAACAGTGGCAAAAACAATGTTCAAGGAAGATACTCAAAAGAATGATACATCACGATTACGGTGGCTAAGGATGAAATGATGGACAAGATGCATTGGAAGAGCATCTTGTCCATCAAGGTGGAAATACAACATTTAGGGTGAACATGGTCAGCAACAAATTCAAGTCTATTCTGATTGTTCTTTGTCTTTCTAAAAAAAACCAACTTTCATCACTTCTAGTAGCTTATATGACAAGTATATAATCAAATAACCCTTGTGGTTTTTACAGGAAAAGATGAAATGCTCTCCCTGAATATACATTTTCATCCACCCATTTTTCACAGCTTGTAATCCAAGTATCATCTAAAGTCATGTTTCCAACTCTGCACCAGAGATGAGTAGTAGTTTTTAAGACGAGATTTCAGATTCCATATGAAAGTTTTCATAATGCTTTTTGACTCATGAACAATTTTTGAAAGAATTTTTCCTTTGGTACACATTCTAACCTATGTTACCATTTTGGAATCTTGTTCAAGCATTCTTTATTAATAGTCGTCTTTACAAGTAGCACCAACAATTTTTTATCCTACTGCCAGATGCATTGCCTTTCGATCTCTACTGTTGGCACTTCCAGAACAGATGAGTTTAAACTATTGGTTCAAGAAATAATCTTTAATGACCATGCTCCTGTTAGATGCAGATTCACAAACATGTCCCCTATGAACATTAAATGGATCACTGTCGTACTCATGTTGAAGATATTCATCAACTGAACCTGTGTATCTAAGGGGGCTCGAAGAATAACCTGACACATCACTCAATCAGTCTGTTATGCGTATGTAAAGAAATAGAATGTTCTACACCGTGCGTGTATGTGTGGGGTCTAAATAAAGTGGTCAGTTAGTGTATAAATTTTCCTTCTTTTCAGAGTAAAAAATACCCAGACAATAATTTAAAAATATTACATTCCATTATAAAATAACATCTCTTAAAATACCCAAATACAGCTTTACCTCCCCCTCTCCTAGCTCTGAAAGCATTACAACGGTTTTAATGTTGTGTTCCTTGACCATTCTCCAGAAGTCAGTTTCTGTGTTTTCTAGAGGATCCTGGGTGATGATGAAAGACAAGGATCGATCATAGCCCTGTGGGTTAAACAGTTTTCTTTTTATAAACTTTAGTTTATTTTTAGAGCTTGTAAGAACTTCAAGAACAAAATTACTGCTAGCTAAGTTATTTATACTGCAAATGCTACGCATAATAAAACACATTGAATATAATACAAAATATGACTTATACTTTTTAATTACAACTAACATGTTTTTATATTCTAACATTTCCCAGTATGATAATTGTTCTTTAAAACAATCAAATACCACGATGAGAGGCACAAAAAAAACCTCTCAAAACAACTCTAAACAAAGAAAATAAAAACTGAATACCTTCACATGAAAATTGGGTACTGTTTTTTGATATTACAGTGAAGGCAAACATTAGCAAATAAATGCCCTCAACTGATTTTTAATTTACTTTAAATACATTGCAGTTTGTATTATATTTTATTGAAGTTATTATTTCTGTACAAAATACTAACGAACACAGTACAGGTTTTTTTACTTACTTCAATGAATGAGGCATTAATGTAAGTAGATTGGTCTACGGAGAAGTTTGGAGGAAGTATAACACGATTTGTATCATCTGAAAAATATACGTAACACGTTTACGTCAACAGCTACATGTATAGCAGTCATCAAATAAAAACCTTTTTTTTTTCATCCAATGTGTACATAGAAAATATTCTGTTTCATTTCAGTTTGAGTCAGTATTATTTTAAAAGGCCACAAAGTTGTTAAAAAGAAAGTGACATCCTTTCAATTTTAGACCATTCCATACAAAACTTCAAGCATTCAGAATATCTTGTAAGTTCGGGACAACAAAATGACTTAGTTTGTTCATATTTGATATTCCTACACAAACCTACACAAGAGCTGTCTCTGCTACCCACCCCTGAACTTTGAACTGATAGAATAAAGGGAATGCAGCTAATTAACAACACCCACCATCAATTTCATGGGCTACTCTAATAGAACAGTGATCTTTGACCCTCACTCTTATAACGCACCCATGATGCCACGAGGACCGTGACATTTTTATGGCAATGGGACATGAACAATGGACCATCAGATTCACAGTCCTGCATGTTACCCATAAGTGCCATGTGTGGCCCAAACTTAGCTTGTACATTGCAGGAATAAAATAATATAAAAACAAACTAATGTTGGATAAAACACACACTTTACTGAAACTAACAGATTCTTCATCTTCTAATTAATTATCATAAGCTTTTGTGATGAATAAATAATTTGTAACAATAGACATCAACACACTGGAGAAACTTGCTACTATCTTACAAGGTATGATAAAGTTGTATCTGTTCTTGTTCAAATTAGCATCCATGGTTCCAATACAACATGTCTTCGGATCTTCCACCACATCTCCAAGCTTCTAGAAGAAAAAACCAAATAGTTTAAACACTTATGGAATGAGGTGGTTAAAAACCATCAGGTACAAAAGTATAAATTAAAGATGGATAATAATTTATCCATTTAAAACAACTTTGGGTTTAACTATTAAACAAATTTAAGGAGAGCATCATCCACATACATGTCAGCTTCCATAGCCAACAAGTCTATTTACTGTACATAGTAACTTTTAATTGTAACAAATCGAGTTTGTTGTAATACTTCATAAGTTTAGTTTAGCTTCCTTTGCATTCACATGTTGTGTTTATCAGTAAAATAGATGTTAATGTTTCATGGGTAAAATACATGCTAATCTGACACTTGGATGTTGTTATGAATAAAATACAAGCTAATCTGACATCTGGTTGTGATTATGAGTAAAATACATACTAATCTGACATCTGGT